AATGTTTTTTTGTATAAAACTTTGTTATATTTCTCTTGAATTAATTTTTTAATTACTTCAAATTGTTTGGAATAATCTTTTGAACTATCCATTGTTTTTTTATATTCACCAATTATATTATCTATATCAGTATCAAGATCATTGACTTTGTACCCTTGTTTTATTACTATATATATAGGTATCTTTTTCGATGCTTTTCTAGGATCTCGGTTCAATTTTCTTTGTTTTACTTTTAAATTTTCGTCTTTTGTAGAATCTTCCTCTGAACGTTTCCTTTTTCTATCGGTTGAGCCATATCCAAATAGTTCTAAACTGTAATCAGTTATTGAATTTAATAAACTCGGTGTATTATCAGAAATTTCTTTGTTGATCTGTTGTTGTTTTTTCTTTCAAGATTGTTTTTGTAAAATTCAATTAACTTTACTTGGTAATTATTTGGAAGATGTTGATAAGATAATTTATTTATCAAATCATACCATTGATTCTCGTCTTTTAATGATTCATAATCGGCTTCAAGAATATGTTTAAACATATTATGATATATTGAATTAAATCTTTATGTCTTTCTTCGTCTCTAATTTCAAAACTTGATAATATAGTATCCATTTTATCAATACTGTCAATATCTGGAAATATAACTACATCAATCTCTTTCTGAAATTCTTCTGTTTGATATTCTATTTTGCGTTGTTCTTTATTTTTTATCTCATTACTTGTCTGTGAATTTCCATCACCCGAATAAGTTTGCGAATGTTCAATTTCTTTTTTATTCAGCTCCTCTCTTTTTTTATTATACGTCCACTGGCGAAATTCATGCATTCTCGTTTTAAAATTGGTTGGAAGATAATCACAATTAAGTTTATCAATTTCGATAGACCAATATTGACCATTTTGTAATCGTTCTATATATGGATCATTGAACATTTCTGTATATAATTCTTGAGCTTTTATAAAATTCGTATAACATACATCTTCTTCGTTAAGTTGAAAATGTATCAACACATTTTCCATATCAGAAATATTATCGATAGATGGAAATTCGACTCCTTCCATATCATCGATTTGATCCGATTCGTGATATTCAATCGCTTTCATTTGTTCATTAGATGATTCAACTTCCATATCATCATTTTGTGAATATTCAATTTGTTTCATATTTGTTCATCATTTATCACTGATGATTCGGTTTCCGGTCCAGGTTTGTTATATTCAATCTCTTTCATGCTTTGCTCATCATTAACCATTGATGATTCAGTTTCCTGTTCAGGTTTGTTATATTCAATTTCTTTCATG